TTCGAGATTTGGTTATATGAATGTCTGAACAAACCTAACTTAATGGCTGCGATGGCCTCTTCAGGACTTTGTCTATTCGTCTCTTCCATAGTTCGGTAGGCATTAAAGAGATGGACTTGACTTCTGAAGAACATATCGACAGCACTTCCCTTTACGGTTGCAAAAGTGAAGTTTTCGGTCGGATTCCTGAGCCGAGAGTCCTGTCAAATGAACTCAAATTTGTATCTAATTTGAAGTTAAGGAGAGACACACCTCAATGCCAGAGACAGCAGCCTGGTCGTCCCGTGGATTGAGCACCAGATAAGCGGCTAAATTAGCAGTATATGAGGCGACCACTATCATCGCAAAACCAGCCCTAATATTGTACTCAATTGTTAGTTATGGCATCAACTAAGACACACATATGACATACCAAACCATTCCCAATACACGAGCGCTGAAACTTCTTGGAGTTCCTAAAATGTGAGCATATTTTACAAAATGAAATATTCAATAAGTTTATATCAAGGTTACTTTCGCCGATTCCACTGTTCAATAGAACACCCCATGAGAACCAGATAGCACTGGACAGGTTGAGAGCACCTTCATCTGACGGCACGACATCTGCCATTTTAAAGCCACCGAATGGACTGAATCGGTCGAGAAGATAGAGGGCCAGTGCCACCACATGTACGGACACTAACACTATATAAAGCAGTGGTTTTAATGAAAGATAGATTTAATTCACAAAATTCATAGTGAAGACAACGAACCTAAGAACCAAAGAGTGTTCTCAAAGGGCTGTAAGAATGAGGCCAACGCTGCCTTCCGGGGCTGTCTTTTTTGAAGAATAGTGATTCCCTCGTATTTGAAAGGCTTGGAAAAGTCAATAACTTGTCCCCTGTATTACATAGTATTACATAAGAATTATTTTAATATTTTAAATAAAATTATGAAAACCTCTCGGGATTTGCGGTGAGGGGCGCGGCCACCATATCTCCTCTTCTATAGACTAATTCTCCTGAAAATGAGCACATATTTAATAAGTGGTATCCAATTTGATTTGATGGCACCTCACCTACGAGTCCACTCCATATCCTGGATCCGTTTATGAAATTATATGTCCCGTACTGTCCATCTTCTACTTGTTCCAAATCATAGGTAAAGTTCAATCTTTTAGCCAACTCTTCCATTAAGTCAATACAATATCCTTCACAGCATTCATCTAAATATTTCTTAACTGTTGTGTTATATTTTGGACAAAGTTTTTGTCCAGTTTTGCAAATACTGTCTCTAATGGTTGGCTTCACCCAAACGAATGGCTTCTCAGCCAAAGTGAAGACTCTTAAATGTTTTGGAATTATATAGCCTTCAAATGAAATTGAATTTTAGTTTCCAATTTTTATCGATTATAAGGTATTTAATACCCAATGGTTTGGTACGTTCGTTGTCGGGCCAAACAATTTGGTCTTCGTTTAAATGTAACTCCATTTTCATATTATTCTTAGAGAAAGAGTAGGTGCCAACTGTTGTCTCCTTTCCCTCTATGATGTTCACGATATCATAATCGCTGAGAAGTCTGTCTCCAAATTCGTCGAAAGCGATTCTTCCGGTCTCTCCATTAAAAGTCTGGTTTTTTAAGTATTTGAAAAATTTTATTCCCGATTCCCATTTGTTGGTCGAAATCTTGCCACAATCGGTGGGCGGAACTGTTATGTTATCGTTTTCATACATCTCTTTCAATGCATTTGTCAGCACTTGGACGGAGTCACGAATCATTGCGCTCTCGTTCAGCGAATTTAATCTTAAAGACAACACTCCGTCGGGTCTATTGGGCGCCTCCATGGCTTGTTCACTGACCAGCCATACATACCCTGAATCAGTCATATTTTGTGAGTATATTTGTTGGAAAATATTGTGTCCGTCCTCTTCATTGGCATACAATATGAATA